ATTTACCGCTACAGATCACTCCCCCCCCCTAGTGGGGTAGTGATGACCCTAAGACGTGGCCAGCCAGAGGTTTAAACCCAACGAGTTTGTCGTTGATAAACACTCTTCTAGTAGCTTTCCAGGTTTAGCAGCGTCTGGTCGTCTTTCCTAACTATATGGGACCGAGGTACAACATAGTAAAAAAAGAAAAGGTACAATGAAAATTTCGGCTTCTCATAAACTTCCTCATTTTTTTCCAGCCGTCCTGGAAAAGAAAAAAGAAAATCTAAGTACATGTCGAAATACGTTCATAGCGCGTAAAAATATATCGGCGAAAAATATGGAAAATAAACTCAAGCACACGTTATAGCGTTTAAAAAATTTGTTTTTTGTTCGTTTTTTTAAAATATAAATATAAATATAAAAGCATATTAAAATTGTTTTTTTTTCCAAAACAATATTATATATCGTAAAAAGGAAGACCGAGGTAATATAAAATGTCGAGTAGTGCCTTACGTGCAGTAGTCGTTTAAATGTTCTGGAAATCTTACTCTTCTCCCAGAACGTGTCGTTTTATGTTTATTTTCAGATATATTCGGAGTATTATCGGTAATGTTGGTTTTCGGTTGAGGAATTATGAGTGTGGGAGTAGTGTATTGCGATTATACCAAAGGGAAATCAACGTGAATGGGATTTCCTTCTAAATACGCTGCTTTTAGCTATCGATGCCGATACTATCGTTTGTTCAGTTCTATCGATTATATAGTACTTCGGTTCGCGCTGAAGAACTTTGAAAGGTCCTTCGTATGCTGATTCGAATGGTCGTCGATGCGAGTCTCGACGAACGAAAACGTGTGTACTATATCGTAAGTCAGGTTGAACGAAAACATCGGTTGATTGTGGTCGAGTGGAAGCAGGCTTAACTGAACGCATTGCGTTTGTAAGCCTGTTCGTGTGGGAGGTTAGATCCATGTTCATTGAAGAGGACGAGGGATCCACGAATTCTTAAGGAAGTCGAAGTGTCGTTCCATAAACGAGTTGAGACGCAGTGTATCCAATGTCAGCTTTCACTGCATTGCGAATACCTAATAAGACAAGTGGAAGAGCGTCGGTCCACTGTGAAACGTTTGCAGCTGATAGTGAAGCTTTTAGTTGTCGGTGAAAACGTTCTACCAACCCGTTTGCTTGTGGATGGTAGGCGGTCGTTCGGAAACGAGTAATTCCTAAAAGCGTGGTCAGACGACGGAAAAGTTCAGATCCAAACTGACGTCCGCGGTCTGTAGTGATGGTTGAAGGGCAGCCGAAGTTTGCTACCCATCGTTCGACGAAGGCGCGAGCCACTGTTTTAACAGTGATGTCCTTGATTGGTACTGCTTCTGGCCATTGAGTGAAACGGTCTACACAGGTTAAGAGATGAGAGTATTCATTTGAATCTGGTAAAGGTCCTACAACATCCAGATGGACATGGTCGAAACGAGCATCGGGAGTTTTAAGTGAGCCTAAGGGACATTTATTGTGTCTGATAACCTTAGGTTTTTGGCAGCTTACACAGGAGCGTGCCCACTTCCTCACGTCTTTATTCATGCCAGGCCAGCAAAACCGTTCTGCTATAAGCTTGATGGTTGCACGAACACCTGGATTAGAATGTTTGCGCATCGTATTGAAGATGTCGCGTCGATAACGTTTCGGCACGATTGGGCGATCCCTACCTGTAGATGTGTCACAAAGTAAGGTTTCCTTACCTGTTTCCATCTGTTTGATACGTAACTTGGGGATTGTGGACGATAACTCGTGCTGAAGATCACTGTCATCTTTCGAAGGTCGGCGAGTTTAAGAAGGTCGATTCCTTGGAAATTGTTCAACGAAATTATTCGAGACAACGCGTCTGCGACTACATTGTTTGCTCCAGAAGTGTGTTGAATGTCTGAAGTAAACTGCGAAATATAGTCCAGTTGTCGAGACTCATGAGGTGAGTACTTTTCCCGAGAGGAGCTTAAATAGAAATTAAGCGGTTTATGGTCAGTAAAAGGGGTAAACTCGCGGCCTTCCATATAGTGTTGGAAATGCCGTACAGCACAGTACATAGCTAGAAGTTCCCTACCGAATATTTTGTACCTCGATTCACTGTGTAGCAACCGTCTAGAGAAAAATGCCAATGGTTGCCGGGAGTTGTTAACGTATTGTTGTAAGACTCCTCCGATTGCTGAGTCGGATGCGTCTACTGCGATACTAATGGGTGCTTCACTGTCCTGATGTGCAAACATTGTTGCTTTAGCGATCAGTTCCTTAACTGTGGAGAATGCTTTTCGTGCGGTGTCGTCCAAATTAATGGATTTCGCATTTCCACGAAGTTCGTCGGTCAGAGGTTTCATAAGTAATGCGCATTTCGGTATGAAACGTCTATAGAAACTTACGAGGCCGTTAAACGTGCGTAATTGCTTGACGGTTGTGGATTCTGGGCAATCCAGAGTGGCCGCCACTTTGGTTCTAAGGGGTCGGATACCTGGAGCATCGATAGTGTCATAGAAAGTCTAATGATTCGGTTCCGATTTGGCATTTCTGGACGTTGACAGTAATGCCATGTTTTTGTAGTCGTTCGAAAACAAGATCCAGATGCTTGAGATGTGATGCTCTGTCCGGACTTGCGATTAGGAAGTCGTCAAAATACGCATGTACGAAGTTGAGGCCTCGAAAAACGTCGTCTATGAATCTTTGGAATGTTTGAGCAGCGTTTCTTAGACCGAAAGGCATCCAAAGAGAGTAATGATGGCGGTTTTCGGTATGTCGTCTCTGGTCATGGGGATTTGGTTATACGCTTTAACCAAGTCGATTTTCGAAAAGACAGTTGTACCTTTCAAGGTAGCTGTCAAATCGTGAATTTGAGGCAACGGATAACGATCGGGAATGGTTTTCGAATTCAGTCGCCGATAGTCACCAGTTGGACGCCAATCGTTGCTGTCCCTTTTAGGGACCATGTGCAACGGAGATGCATATGGGCTATTTGACGGTCGTATGATTCCTAAGTCTATCATATGGTCGAACTCGGTTTTCGTCAACCTTAGCTTTTCGGGGGCTAGTCGTCGTGCTTTAGAGAATACAGGTGGTCCTGCAGTCGTGATGTGATGTGTAACGTTGCTGGTTACACACGGTAGTTTCGGTTGCGTTTGCTGAATCCCAGGATACTTATCGAGAAGTGGTTGATAAAGTGGGTCTATCGTATGCTTAATTGTGACTGTGGATAATCTGCAACCAGAATAAGAAGTTACGCAAACGGATAAATTAGTGTCTCCGTCTACTAGCCTCCGTTTGCGAGTATCGGTGATTAGTTTATGGTGTTGTAGAAGGTCCATACCAATGATTGACATAGAAACTTCTGCAACAACGAAGATCCAGTGAATGGGTTTGCGTAAACCCACGTTAAGGTAAACGTACCTTTTGCCATACGTAGCAACAGGTTTTCCGTTTGCCGCCTGTAAGTTTAGAGCCGATTCGTGAAGCCGGTCGTTGAGATTCGCTGGGAGAACGCTAACTTCTGTGTCAGTGTCAACGAGGTAGAGAACTCTCGTTGTCACATCTGTGATGTACAACAGACGGCTATGTTCGCCGGCTACGGTTGCCGTGAAAGCGTGTCGGCATGGAAGTTTCCCGAGTTGTTTTTAGAGTCAGTCGGTTTTGAGTTGGGAAAATTGCAGAGTTTTCTGCAATTCCTGGAAGACTTTCCATACTGGTTATGATACCAGCACCAGTCGGGGTTATCCGTCTCTCGTGGTCTAGAGACAGATCGCTTACGTGAAATGCTTCTACTTGAGGTGCGCGATCTCTTACGGTCGGTACGAAGATTAAGATAACGTGTGAGTGTATGACATAACTCGATTATGTCATTCTGAGTCGTTTGAGGTTTTTCTTTGACTGAAAGTACCTCGGTAGTAGAAGATTTCGTAATTTCTAAAATACGATCGGTAGATGCAGCCAGTTCGTCTAAGGCGTTGTTCTGAAACGAGACCAAAGCCGCTTGCACCTGTTGGGGAAGTTTTGACAAGAAGAGTTTTTTTAATAGACCTTCGTCGAAAGTTCTTGGGCCTATTACCTCTCTCATCCGTTGCAACATGTCCGTCGCAGAACCGTGTTGCAGGTCGATGTTATTGAAGAGTTGATCTAACCTTTGTCGATCGGTTAGGTCTCCTCGTTTAAGAATCGAGCGTTTTAAGATTTCGTAAGGATCGGAAACATCACTAGTAAACATACTAGGTGTTACGTACCTGTTGAATTCGCGCGGTAGTGCCTTGACCACTGCGAGGAGTTGTGCACATGGGTCGTTCATGCCGTGCTCGTGGAAGTCGGCTTCTGCGTAGCAGGACCAGGCTTCGATATTGTCAGGCCAGAAGGCCATGCGTTGGAAGGAGGGTGGGGACATGGTCTTAATCTTAAATACTTAGGAGTTTGTTCGGTCATAGGGGAATATTAAGTAAGAGAATACGAGGGAAAAAATTATAGATATCCTGAGACACGGGGGAAAAAGAAATATCACAATGTATTAAAAATAAAAAATTAAGGCAATAATATATAAAAATTCCAAGAAGGAACAGACGCACAGTTGCAATTAGGTGTACTAGAGCACGTCGGTCTCACCAATGATGATGACACAGGTATTCAGTGTTTGACAACGCTTATACCAGCAACACATTCTAATATAATTCGTACCCATCAAGAGAAATCAAAGGACAGAGTCGAGGAGATCCGAAGAGTATATTTGGCGATTACCAATATATCGGAGTTCTCTGATTTAATCTGGCTAGCGATTGCGGTAGGTGTTGAGTACGGCGTTCACACACGTGATCTGGTACGGATGCATGACCGAGCGCCTTCAGCTAGGTGAGTCCACTAAAACATATGGTCACCATCCAGTGTCGAAAACTTACAGAGCTATTTATTTTGGGGATTTATTTACCGCTACAACATATGATGGTGTTCTAATACTGCAGTCTTTTTTCCCTATCAAAAGGCTTGAATATCTGTTTCCTGAAAAATGGTAACATGGCACGGGTACTCCCCAGTCTTACTCAATCATTTCAATTCTTCAGCTACTTTTAATCCGAAGGACGCTCGTCGACCTTGAGACCGTTAGGTGTTAAATATTTCTCCTGGCTGATTCTCGTTCTCTTCCAAATCCCTCATCATTGTTGATTGTACATAGTACTCAATGTAAGTGTATGCTGTGAGTTTTGAGGGTTCTGGGACTCATCTGCCTCAGAATTCGGGATTTTTATTTCCGCTCGCATATTTGTTTTCCGGATTACTTCCTCATTTTCGTATACACTAGTTCAGGAACACTGTAATTTTTCATCTCCAAATTAAAACACGAATTTTCGCTCTTCTGAAGAAAGACAACGCATAGACTAGACATAAGCCTGTTGACGTCTGAAATATATTTGCTATGATATGCGACGAGGCTTTCATGTAAGTCGCTATGCCTAAAATGTCCTTATTCTAAAATAGATCTTCGTCTTTAGATAACATGTCAAGCGAAAACGTCAGTTCCTGGCATACTGACATACAACCAGCAGTCCAGCATCACATCGACCTTAAGTCAAAATTGTGGTCAAAAGAAATTCAGTTGGATGTTTGTGATAGATTTAGTCTTTCAACACTTCTTGATTTTATGAATATGATTCGGAATTTGTCGTCTACTCACATAAAAAATAATCCTACATCTGAATCACCAGTGGATCACACTTACTTGAGTCTCCCTTCCAGTGTTTGTTTGGACAAAACCTCACTGACATTGCATTATCCTCTCAGTGATTATGGCTCTGTACACGATATTCTTTGTAAGAAAGAGGGCGGTTTGAACGAAAAACTGGTATGCGCCATTATGGGCCGAGTAGTATTGTGCCTTGACCAATTGCATAATAGTGGTTTACTTCATCGAGGTTTATGTTCGAAACATCTACTCTTCAAAAAAACGTTAGATCCTAACTCAAAGTCTCATAAATTAAGTGTGGTTCTCTGCGGCTTGGGAAGTATGGCACAGCTACCACCATCCTGGAGTACTGTGGCGCGAAACGATCTGCCCTTCCTTTATGTTGCATGGCGTGGTTGGAGGTTGCATGAGTCGTCAGGAGGTGAATCATATAGCCATCCAGTAGCATGGTACAGCCCGGAGTTATTGGCACAGGATTTTACTGGATATTCGTGGTCTTCAGATATATACAGTTTAGGTCTTATTTTGTACGAAATATTCACTGGTCAACCGCCATATATAGGATGTCCTCCTTCTCTTATATTCCTGAAAAAAATGCTCCAGCTAGATTTCCCTCAACTTCACTATGTAAGTTATTTTTCTAAATATATAGACCCTCTTTAGTTGAAGAAATTACGTTCAAGAGCATATGATTTAAAAAATAAAAACTGATAAATTTGTATGTTAATTAAAAGTATTCGAATTAATGTACTAAGGATTTACGAAATAGTGCTATGTAAGGCAGATAGAACTAGATGAGCACAATTGGGCGTATTATATTCATGATTCGTAATCGGCGCCCAACCATGTACCAAGGCGTCGTCAGTTGATACAAATACTACAATTTGTCGACTGGGATCTCCACTGCTTTCCATCGGTAAAATCATGTGAAGATGAATTGTATGCGAATTGTACCTGTAAGTTGTCGACCAACGAAATTATCCATACACTGGCCCCATAAGCAGTTTATATAAGATGCTCTTGTTAAATTTAAATTTCCATTAGATCAAGTGTGAATCTTTTTGTAAACAGGTATAAGTTATTGATTACTTTGTTGCTAGTTTTTCTAACTCGTTAATCTCTTTTTTGCATCCCACACCGTATGGATTTAACCATTAAAAAGGCGAACAATTTACTCCACAACGTATACAGTTCAGTTATCTCACTTTCTTTACGTAATCCAGGTTGGAAATGTTACATTGCTTTCGTTAAATTATCTTGTTTACGCAAATTCACCTCACTTGTTCACTTTTTGTATATATTGTAGAACTAAATGAACTTTAATCCATCAGCATCCATTTGATGCAGTTAGTCACAGTGCGACATGCAAATTATCTGTAAGGTTGATAAAATAGTAAAATGGTAATTACAGACACTATTTATTGTAGTTTTCACTATATACTGCTTGTCGACCAGTGATGAAACTTATTGAACGAGTCATTATATGCCCTCCGATTCCTTACAAAAAATATTTTGTTAAAATATAATGGTAATCAGACTTAACTTCATCCATATTCTGAAGGCTTTCCGCACACAGCACACTAAACTTCTGTAATCTTTTGCTGTGTCTTTGCAACAAACTATCCACTATGTGCTATTCATAACTCTCCAACAACTAGCGGTAATCAGTTAGTTTCCCCAGCTCTTGAGTCCATCGTACACCTCAACTAAAAATGCCTCGCTATCTACTGTTAAATCTTAAGTTAAACAATGAATGATAGTGGATTGTAATACAATCAAGCGTGCCTTAATAATATTCCAACTATCAATCCACATTTGAATAAAAGGGTCCTTATCGATTTTCTTAAATCAGGTAGATTATTTTTTTCATGGGTATGCTTAGTACCATCAATTTCGCATAGCTTGATAAACCAATGTTCACGTCTCATTCGATATACGAGTAAACGGGGAGTAATTGAAGAGTGGCCGTTCATTGAAATTAGGTTAGAAGTTTTTGTTGCTTCTTTACAGAAAACTTTGCAGGTTCATTTATAACTATTAGATGTACGCAGTTAGTAACTTTTTGAAATATTTAAGATAGGTAGTTAATTGATATTGAGACCAACTCCTAATATTTTTTTATCCAAACGTATATTAAACTTCAATCTAGTACAATCAAACACCACCGGGTCGTTTTACATAAATCCAATTTAGTCCTCCAGACAGGTATGAAATTCATGTTACCGTTAGGTGTGCTCTTTTTATCTCTTTCCAAATATACTGGGTATGCTAGATTTTTCTGCATTTAACCTTATTTAGCAGTGTAGGTAGGTGCTGATTATCTAGTTCCTGTCTGCGCAGTTATCGTTACTAATGACTGGGTACGTCGGGCGACATGGTTTGAAACTAGTAGCAACGGTTCAGATGCTCATTCCTTTATCCCTCGTTAAATAATGAGTCTTCCTGAATCATATTGTCTACGCCCAATCTTTACTACTGCTATTATTTTTGAATTACATTTAACGAGACAGTATTCAGCTATCTATATTAATAGCTAGTAAGATCATGTTAGCCTTTCACATTCAGTTATCAATTATATGTATCCTGACTCCGTTTGGACACCCGGGCGGTATCACAGCCCTCACACAAATCAAATGGGATTTGTATGACGCATATGTATCTGGTGCCCCCTTGTACCAGTATTTATGTGTTCAAATAAATATATATATATATATATATATATATGTATGAATGTTGCGTTTCTGCCATAGTTGTCCTGTAAATTTTTATATCCTACTGGGATTTACACTCATTTTCGCTAAAATATTTTGTCATTCCATTTCTCCTGTTTATCTCCCATTTTCTTAACAAGAATGAAACTAATCCGCCCAGTGCTGAAATGGAGGCGATCTACAAAGCTTGTACGCATTATGATCCAAAACAACGTCCATCTACAAAAGATTTACTAAATATGCCATGGATACAAAATGGTTTAAACATAGTTATCACAACTAGCGAGTTAGATTCCTTACGTTGAAATACTCAACTAATCAAAACGGTAGTTTGAGCAAGTGACGTTCTCTATATTAGAAAACTTCTTTACAGTAATATTCTTTATATTTTTACAATATTTACAATGAGTTTATGAATCGAGTGTACAGATGTATGTATAAATCAGAATTAATACATGGTAGTCTAGTTTTTATTTGACTTTTATATCCAAACCATTTGGATAGTGTTTTTTAAATCTTTCAACAACTGCTGGATCAACCAAATAAGTTCCGTCCAGTTGGTTTCCAAGCGTGATCCTGTGGTATTTTTTTGTTAAAAGATTAAAACAAAAGTGAAAAACACTAACAGTATGGAATAGCACTGTTAATCTTATGGTGGACCATTTATTAAGTAGTGAGCAGATAGTAAGGATCAGGGAGCAGGTTGTTTCATCGTTTCCTCTGCAAACGCTTAAACCGAGCACGCTAGATCCATTTTAGGATCAAAGATTTAGGAAACAGGATGCAGTTTTCACATTCTATTGCCTTAATTAAGTGGTGAGAGGAAGTCCTGAACTCAAGTTTCGCATTAACTAGCACTGATCCGTATGACTTGCCTGCGATCTTGATGCAACTGATGCTTCCTGTGTGATTGAAACTCACGTCACCCAGCTTTACATTCTAGGATCTTACCGCTGGGTTATTCAAGTAGTAGTGTTCCAGAGTATCACGGCGGACGATGCAAGTCCGGATCTCCGGTGGAGCACCAGTCCCCTCGAGACTGTAAGTACGCCTTGCTGACGAGGAAAAACTAGTGAGAAACCTAGCACCAACCATCTAACATCTAAACATAATGAACGTGATGATGATTTACTCACACTATTAATCACGTAGCAACCTAATTAGTAAAATCCGATTACGGCTGAATGAATGACTAGGTAGACATGACACTAGTCGCTAGTGAGTGATTAGTCAAGTATAGTGCCTCACTGGTTGTACCACCACTTTCTGGTGAATCAGAATTTTCATATGTGCATTTATAAGAACTTGAAACAAACAATGAACTACTATCTATATGATTTTAATTGGTTTACTAGTAAATGACAACAAGAACAAAATCGACGCTGTGTAGATTTTTTGCCTACAATGAGTCGTGTTAGGCCAATTGTTATGTAGATGGTATTCTAATTAACACTCCTACCTTGAAATAACATACTACGCCTGATTTGTTTAATATGCTATTAGCTACTACATAAAATACTGAAAGGTCACATATATTGTGCGAACTAGATCTTGGTGTTAAACAAGTACTTTTTCATGGAAGTGAAAATATTTTTAGATAACTCAATAAATACTATTCTGTCATTTTGATTTATGTTTCTAGTGTAAATCTAAATTAGAATATACATGTCTGAAAAATGAACATGAATTTACTCTTCATATTGCATGTTTGACACAGTTTAATTCTCTGGTTTCAGAGTAAAATTAATATATATGCTTTTCTCGATGACTTCGTTTAGTTAATATTACTAATTAAATGTTTAGATTCTTACCAGTTAGGCTGTAAGTTATGAGGACGTCCAAATAATTCGAGCTTGCGCGTACCAGGAGATAATCGTTCAATTATACCGTAGATTTCATCAGGTTTATGACTAGTTTCACGAACTTCAGAGACAATTATATCACAGTCGAGACCTCGATTTACACCCTTATGAAAAATACGAATATCGGTGTAAGAATATAATTAAAATTGTCCCCTAAAATAAAGTTAGTCAGACGTAACATACAACCTGGTACATATGTAAATTGGTTCACGTCGCCACATCACATTAACGCAGCGAAATGAAATTATCAACACAAGTGAGAGAATAGTAGAAATAGTAACGGTAGTAATAGATAAGATCAAACATAGACATGATTTAAAAAGGACCCATTTGTGTATAAAATGTATAAGGTAAAATATAAACTCAGTATCTAACGGTAGACAAATAGTGGATGCATCTGCGACCGATTCTAATACATGTTACTCATCTCTAACCGTCGGTTGCAATGGTTATGCAGACCCTAACTAGATGGTCTGCAGTCAATAGTTAATGCACTCATGGACAAATATGTTCTGGTCCGCCCATCATTGGTTCCTTCTAACTTACCACAATACCAAATATCACATCGAAGTAGGCGGTGATTGGGTATACGTAATGCACGCCACAACCACCTCAGTCGATTTGTGACATTTAATGTCCTACGGCTGACCTAACCACTGCTCTTCCGGTGGTCCCAACATATGGGGGCAATGCTTTAAACGGATCTATGATCAAGTACTAATAGTTTACAAATACCCTTAATTCTTAAAGGTCACATTTCGCTGTCGTCATGTAGAACAGAGAGGTATTGCTGCACGGTTGAGATACGGGGATCTCATCTACACAAGTGATGTAAATTAGCAGAAACTAATTGAGCTTATTGAATCCATACCGAAAGTTCATCACATACCAACCCACCAGGATTTATGAGACTTCCAAGATAAGTGAAGTAGTTGACCCACTGAACTACTTCATTTCCTACAGCTAGTTTGAGTGTCGACGCCAACCAGTAATGGTCATTCTTATTGAATTATTAATAACTGATAAGATTCGTTTTCAGCTTACTTTTGGGTTGCCTTTTACACCAACTAAACAATGTTCTTTGCCATGATTTAACCAATGTCCTGTACGTCCTGTCCGAATTAAACGTTGCAATTGGTTAGTTTTAACCCATATAATCTCATCTACGCGTTCGTAACCCCATAAACGTAGGCATTCTCGACCAAGTTCCATAGCTCTGTGATTTGAAATAAAAAATAACTAGAAGGTAATCATCCAAATTACAGAGTTTTGAAGCAAGAGTTGAGAAAGGTGTCAGAGTTTTTATTAAGGAATATGACAGTTTAAGACGCTACACACCACAGCAGCAATATGTCTAGAACTCAAATAGACCAAAAGAAAGTTACGTAGATCCTACAATTGCTCATGTGAAATCCAATTACAGGAAGTACACATATCTCAACAATCAGTTATTCCATGAACTAGTCTTACGCTTTAATTTGATGATTATGAACGTTGTTTTAATCTACTATGCTAATTAGCATCACATGTCAAGATAAGTAGAGTAATACGCATATGTAACGGTTGGTTCACCATTTAAATTAAGTAACATTCGAAGTAGATTCACACATCACATAATTTTATGGAACTATCCAATCTGAAACATATTTTTTAAACACATAACCCGAAAAGTGGAACTTAAATATCTGGAAGAACGATTTTCAGATCTCCTGGTATAGAACAAAACATCACTAGTGTACGTTAAAATCGAGCTTATTAGTTGTAATTTATATGAAAAAAAACATTCACTGACCTTCCTGTTACCCATAGGAATATATAACCATCATCTTGTAAACAAGGTATATCTAATCGTCTCATCTCATCGTCTGACATTGTTCCATAGGGCAGTTCCATGTGTATATCCCATGGTGGATCAGCCATAATCACAGCAAATTTTCCAAGGATTGACATATTTATCAGTCGTATATCACAGTTAATCCACTAGAAAAGTGATAGCAAATACTTGAAAATCAGTAATCTTATTCGCAGTATTGTGTATCAAGTGAGTTATTACTTTTTCAACAGTATATGCATTCTGAAGCACTCTACCAGCAGTGATAACCACTGCCTCTTCAGTAGTAGACAATTATGAAAGTAGGATAAAAAATTATGTATTTTCCTAAGAAATGCCCTTCTTTAGCTGAAACGGACGGACAATAATAGGAGAAGTTCCTCTAACATGCGTTACGCGATACTTCCTTTTTAATTTCACTATTGTATTAATACTTCTTAGCCTCTAAGGGACATATTATGATTAAGTTTTTTTTACGAAATAGGACGAACGGAATGAATCTCTGAAGGTGCGACATCAGTGGTTTCCAATAATTCCATTGCTTCAAGGAAAACACATGCTTAGCAACTCATTTACCAAGTAAAAGTTTATGTAAATGGCTTTAACCTACATTGTTTATGTAGTGATACTGCAGTGAATGAGAACGCGGGCGAGGACAACTAGCTGTATTTGAATACAGAATTACAGAATCTCAGTAAAATCTGAGAATACAGTAAATACTTCATCTGCAAAATATCCATCAATTGTCTTAGACTATATTGTTCCTTCATTTCTATACCAATCACTCTCTGTTCTCGTTCTCTCCTCTTTGATCTCAACCTTCCACCAGGTATTCCACTTTCGATTGGTGATACAAACTGCTTATATCTGTCGACATCAGTAACACATACCACAATACGATTCTATTCTTTAAACTGCGTTGGATGAGGCGGAGCTCAAACCCTCAACTTAATAATACATAAACAACTAATTTAGCTACTAAGAAATCAAACAGCCTTCCATAAAATGTACCAAACTCTTAATAATTACTGAATCCAAGGAGGCTGTCGTAAACAAGTTATGATTAATTTATTCAAACATTTAATAATACGAGTTAAAAATTGATATGAAAACTTTAATAGACTGATCAAAATAACTTGGATATTGATCCTATGATTAATAGTTGTAGTTAGAAGTATTGCCCACTTGACATACTTTGGAAATTAATGATTAGACCGTAAATATATATTGCCTGCCTAATGACTGCGCAAAATTCAGGACATTATCCACTACGTATTTCTTCTTGAAGAGCACATACCAACTGACCTTTGAGTAAAGATTCTCAAGTGTCTGTAGGATCTGATATGACCAGAGTTTTTAAATATCGATGGATGTAGCCGTGGTATTCCGAGAACGAACTTGTAAAACCTACAATAACCGTTCGAGTTTCTGACAGATGATTCGATCGTCACGTCTGATTACCCTTTCTACTTACCACTTGACATAGTCCCTGTGAGTTCCCTATGTTTACAGGCTAAAACCCTAACCGAAACATGGCATCAGTCCATGAAGTCACTAGCAATTGAAATTAGTCATGTTGACTGGTACAGACTACATGGTTGGGGTTCTTGTGATTATCGTAATCAATGATTACATACTTTGAATGACATGATTCAAAACCGTTTGCAATGGTGTATGTGCATTTATTCTTTGTTTTCCTTCAAATTCTAAATTCCTCACAACTGTTTTATTTCACTGATTCATACTTTCTTTTTGAGTTGTATCTTTGATATCTAATCTTTCGTATTACCACTAATACTGTTGCTAGATCTAATATTCTGACAATTTCAGCTCTCTGTGCGAATAGGGTATGGCAACTTGAACCGATGTAAATACGTATAAGTTATATGTTGTGACTGACAGACTGAAAAATGTTGATATGGGTGCGGTATTGAGTTATTGTGGGAGTGATAAAAAATGAAATAGCGAAGTAGATGAAGAGCATAGCTTTGAAAGTCCTTCAGGGATGTTTTCGTCAGTGAAAACATGGGTGAGATAAATATGTTGTCACAAATTGGAAGGATTTTAAAGGAAATAAGACTGAAACACCGTGTTTTATAGAATAAATATTTATGAGTCCAGTTCATCGACTTATTGGACAGAGCAGTAAATACCTATACACATTGATAATTTTCTTTATAGTTGCGTGTAGGCTAGGATACTGCACGGACTCCCAGACCGAATCAGATGGCTTTTTTAGCCCTCGAGCCTTTAACCTAGAGGCCTAATCGACAAAGCAGTGGGGCGAATTTAGGAGATAAGGTTTAGAACTGTAGTTTCCAATTATCCTAGGTAGGCCCTCCATATTCACTAGCCCGGTTCAAGCCCTGGCGGTGGCGTGACTGAAGAGACCAATTTATGTATAGTGAAAGCCATAGTAGCTCATGCCAATCTGGGCCATCTTTGGTCCCTTCGTCATGTGAATGTGGCTGTAAAGGTCGGGTCACTGAGTGCTGATCAATGTCATGCTTGTCTAGTCCTTATTAGTGCAGATCGAATGCTATCGATCATGTTTTGCTCTATGATTGTGAAACCTAGCCACTCTGAATGGAGAACTCTTTATGCTCGGTGATTACTGTTTCCGAAAGATTGCTGATATTCAATGCCAACGTCATGTTAGTAACCCAGAGGTCCGTCAACATACGTTTGGGCACAATAACGATAATTCAATTAGTTTCACTACCTTGAAAAACCGAGTTTAGTGACTTCGACACATATTACGAATACCGTGCCAATGAATTCCATATCGTACATTATTTGCCAACGCCTGAGCTGATTGGGAAAAGTGGTTTATGACATAGAGCCGGGGTGCGAAAGAAAGCTGTACAGGATTTAAATCTGTTGTTTTTTCACTACTCCCTAACTGAGATCCTAAAGATAGTTCAACACAATAGCTTGAGACATAACTAGGGATTTTACTTTGTAAAAGTGAGAGTAAGTTCTTGAACTGAAAGAATCCTTTCTGGCTGTATATTTTTCTCAAGTGAACTGGTTCTACCATTATTTGCTACTCGCATTCACTAGTTTTTATTCATCTATTATTATGTTTATTTATTATACTCACGTTCCTTCCTCTATGTCTTCACAACCACATTTTCTTGTTGTGTATGGTGCACCTTTATACCAATAATTATGTCTTCAAATAAATAAATAAATGATATATATATATATATATATAACGTTACCTGAGGTGGATATAAAATTAGTGATGTTCCATTGTCTTTTACAGCACCACCGCCACTAACACTGACACCGTCATCAATTGAATCTATCGAAGATGTGTTGATTTGTGACGATGATACTGATAATGATGACGAAGACATTGTATTTGTTGTAGAACTATTATCATTTTGATTATTTTTCTTATTATTTAACACATTCCGATTAGCAACACCACCATCTAATTGTTGATTAACACTATCTGTATAATCTATTGTGTAATGAACATACTAAAATAACAAAGAAAATTTTAAAAAATCAATGATAATAAGTAGGGTGACTTATGTGAGAATTAGGAGAATTGATCATTTAAGAATGGAGAGTGTTAGTTACAAGTCCCACCTCATTTCCCACTGTTTATTTATAATCTCGATTATTGAATTCACGTTATATTTCGTATATATATCCTTAGACTTATTCTGTTTTCTAACAGATTTATTGGATACGAAATGTTTTAGAAAGGTATGTATATATTTTAGACGAATGTATTAAAAAGATCACGTGCACGAAGAACAAACAATAGTGAGAAGTGAGAATCCTATATAGTGTATGGAGTGTGATGAATGGATTGATGTGACGATCAATAATTGTGCTCCGCGAATTGCTATATTGATCACTTGTATAATGTGTAGGTATGTGTGTGGATTTAATACATTAGTTGAATCCCTGTTTAAATTACTGTCTGAGTTTATATAGTCGAATAATGGTCATGCAGATGTACACAAGTGGTCTACGCACATAGAAATGGAAGGTAGATAAAAGTAATTATCAAAATGATACGACTAAAAACGGCATACATTTGTTTATCAGTCGTGTTTTTTAATTGTTAAGACAAAAATAAATTTGCATAGTTTAGCGGTTGTGGAGAATGTTAAATTTTTGATTGAGATCATGAACCTATTGATATTAGACCATCATTGAAAACCTGGAAGCACTGGACGGCCGTTTCGTCCTATTGCGTGGATGCTCACTGCTGAAGAGTCCCACAATGGGACGAAAAGGCCGTCCAGTGCTTTCAGGTTTTCAGTAGGCGTCTAATATCAATCGGTCTATGATCTCAATCAAAAAAATTTGCATAGGAATGTACACAATGTGTTGTTTATTTCCTTTAGACACATAAGCTAGCGATTGAAGTAGCAGATTGATATAGTAAACCAATCAGAAATGATTTAAAGGACAAGTGCATGTCATTGGCTTAGAAATGGGTTCATTCTCTATGGGATATATATATATATATATATATATATATATATATATATATATATATATATATATATATATATATGAGTATTTGTGCATTTTATTCGGTAGTTCAATAAACTTTATCATCCACTCTCATATTTGCACTCAAGGAGTCAGTTGGAGGGGTTGGTGTGCATTATATTTCGGGCACCATCCAATACAACACGGATTCCAAATGGAGAAAACTAACCATAAACATTCACATTCAATTAAATCTTAATGAATTGGATACCAATCAAATTTAATAGTATTCGAACCGTTAACATTCAACATTTTACTGGACTTTTTTATTGACTCACTCCCGATTGTAGGCAAATTCAGCTGACGAACACTAAATAGGACGAAACACGCATCATGGATTCGAATGCCAGCCATCACTCGTATATACTTATAACGCTTGTGAGTTAATGGCAATATCAAGGTAATGCGCACAGGATGCTTCAAGCGATTGATTAATTGCAGTCCTAAACATCAATGGGAACATTCCAACAACCAATATAAATGAATTAGATAATATGAAGTTTTCTTACGTTATTAGAAAAAAAAGTACAAAGATTCATGACAAATTTTTGTTCGATTTTGTAGTAACAGTGTAGCTATTAGTAGTGCTCACGATGTTGACTGCTTCATATGTATATCTGGGCATAAATTGATGGGAATGATAAATACGGAGACAGTTGAACTAGGAAATTAACGGCAGACGATGCGGCTTTTACAATATTTATGCAAAGCTATTTGACTACATATCATTAGAAGTAACACAATTATCCTGTACACGTTTGTGTATTCAGCTTTGAGTCATACTAATTGTGTAAGGGCTAGGAATACTACTACTAATTAATTAGCCAAAAACGAACAGGAGACGGGTTCAAACCTATAACTTACTGACTAAAAGCAGAAAACAAATAAATATCATGGTATACTACTTTATACTTACTTTACACGTGTCAACATGAAAACAAGTATTCAAGAATGAACAGTCTCCAAGAGATTCTGAAATTAGAAAAATAAGACTTTAAGTGAACTTACAAATTCATTTAGGTAGTTTCAGACTGTATCACAGAAAATTTAGGGTGAAATCATGAATTGATAATTATCGAGGACATGTGAAACCAACTCCGCCTATAGCTCTTCTAGAGTTACTGCCGATCTCAAGCCCGGGTAAAAGAGGAGGCTTGGGTATGGGGTTAGAGACCCCATCCCATAGAAAACTAACTCGCTAGAAAACGCTAGCCAGAAAAAATGTCTGAAACCCCTAACATCCTAGTTGGAAGGAGGGGTAACTGCACTATAGTAGTATATAATGATTAGATACGTTGGGCGACTTAATGAAAAATGGATTACAGTGACACAGTTGTGTCCGTTAGATAGTTAGCCTTCTGAGTTATGTAACATTCCTAATTTTTTAATTTTTGTTTTATTCGAACTGCATAGTAGGTGATGTAACGGACGGTTCCAAATATTCTTCTCATTCTCGGGTGTACTACATTAATACGATAACAAGACTAGTCATATTATTAAAAGCAGTTTGATAAATTGGAATAAGAGGATATAAATGAATGAATACTAGGACTGAAGACATAAATGAAAAGAAAGAGTTAATGTATTTAAGTCACTGTGACCAATTTTTAGTAATTTCATGCAACGTCTCCAATCATTATTCATGATAATTACATGAATTCAAACTAGGACGTTGGCATTAGACAGTGGCTACATGAAATGATTCTACGTTTTAGTTTCGCCGACCTTATACATAATTATAACATATGTACTTACCATCCGTATGTGGGTGTATAATTTTACGGAAATGAAGTTTATTACACCGTTTCTTATCACCAGTTCGTGATTTAACTTTTGAGCATTCAGTACGGGTACCATAAGAACAAAACTGTTGTACTTGACTGCCTAAAATTAATATATATATATATATATATATATCTCGGTAAATGATAATTTAGAAAAAACAATATCAATAAATAAACCAAATATAATATGTAATCAATATGATGAACAAACTATCCACCGAATTCTCAATACTGGAACATGATGATTATTCAGTGGTTTGTATTTACCAGTCACTTTTTTTTAATTATGTGATCACTGGAAATTATTTCCTGAAAGTGATTTAATTTGATTCCTGTTCTAAATCTTTCAATCTTTCTTGGTACTCTTCAGTAGTGGACATTCGAATCTACGATCCTTAAATCTCTATCTATGACAATTGAGGTGTGTTCACTAGTGAGTAAGTTAGGGAAGTTTAAAGGGGAAATTCGTGACCGGATAGGATCACACCATGTCAGGAATAAGACAGATGATATTAGATCACAACAGGTGGAATTTTAAGGAAGGCAAAGGGTTATAGTAGACAGCTATTCAAATAATTAGTTTTCTAAAGATTTCATATAGTACTCGGTAGCGGTTTGAGAATTCTAAGCAATAAATATTTTGACAGGTCTGTTTCTAATTCGAACGCTTGACACTCACTTCAAAGCTGGTTTCTAGTTTGCGAGAATTCTCCCACACTGGAGCTTCGAACGGTAGGAAAAAGGAGCAAAGTAACAAAAAGTCCAGGGCTCATTGATGTACAGAAAACAACAGCAATTATAGATTTATCAGTAACCTTTGACCTCCGGAAGCATGCTAATTTAAGTACCAGAGTAAGAAGTCAATCAAACTGTGATAATCTGTCCATCTACTAAACATTTTCGTGGCGTATGCTGATTGGACGAAATACCCGCATATATGTCCTGACTTATGAAGACCCTAACGAGGAATTCTCGGCAGATCCCAAATATCTCTGTAGTTACATTTGTGAGTTTTATAAACTGTAAAGAGATTCACTGAAAAGCACTCATTCTATATAATGGTATAGAAAATAGTAAAAGCAATAGAGTTTAGTAAAAAAGATCTTGTGGAGATTGATTTGTAAAATATACTGGTCACAGATTGACCTCAGTTGAGGTATTAATGAAAACCAAGAAGCACTGGGCGGTTGGCCCGATGGTTCTACTGATTAAGCGTTGGCAACGAGACCTGAAAGTCATGAATTCGGTCTCTGTTGGGGTCACATGTGTACAGTGCTAAGTAGCCTCATACTGTGGCGAAACAACTGTCCAATTCTCCTTGGCTCTCAATAGTGCATCAACTGAGATCAATCTGTAACGAATAAAACACATGGAACCAATAAGTGAAGTGCTAGAGATTAGAATGAAATAGTTCTTCTTTGAGTATCTCACCTACATAATGAAGTGATATCGGTTGAAGGACAGGTGAAAAGCGAAAGTGAACTGGGCATTTCTATCGTAATAATTTTCTCTTATTACAGAATAGTTCACACCAACCGACTATTCACAAGATCTAGTCAAGAACTATTCAACGTCTGTAGCAATTAGTCAAATAACTCAACATTAAAAAATATTGTCTCATCTCAACAATATCGTGATATGATTTTTTAGTCAAATATGCTAACTAATTAACATGTTTTTTTATGTATTTGATGGATTAAATAGATCCATTCAATTTAAATATACATAAAGACATACCTCCTTGAGTTCGGAAACGTTCGGTTAGGAATCTTTCCTGTAAAGAATATTTGAAGATAGAAAAAAGATATACTTTACATATATATCATTCCAGAAAGCTGTTATACATGGGAAGTATACATACTGTAACGTTAAAAGGGGCAAAGGTAAGAGTTACAACCACAAAAGTGATGTGTCCTGTGAGGATGAGAAATGGTTGAGTAGGAAGAGCAGACAGATAGATTTGTGTATTTTAATCTATATTTGTCCAACACTGGTTATAAATTGGTTGAATGAGAGCGTATCATATGATGTTCTCGGTCTATTGACTGAGAGACCAGTTTAGTGTTTGATTCTGAATCTTTAATTATCTATTATTTGGTATAGAGTGACGAAGTGTCCAGTGTAGGATCGTGGACGAAAAAACTTAAAATCTTCCGTCCTAACAAAACAGTATAAAATTGACGGATATACGCACTTAATAAACAAAACAGAGCATCGTTCTATCCACCCAACTATAGTTTCAAGATAGACAAACGAATATTTTGTGAGAAGTTCATTTTTAAAGGGACATCTATAAGACATCAGTCAACGAAATCGCGTTTTTTTTACATATATCAAACAATTTTGAATCGTTTTACTGTATTAGTTTGAGTGGTTTTAGCTTTGGTCAATGTCAGAACTAAAGGTACATTGAGTTCATTGATATACTGTAATCTAATGTGCTATATCCCTGAAGTTATTATTATTGTTATTAAGACCAACTCACTTTTCGAAGTACAGATCTGTACAATCGACTTTTGGCTACACTCTAAGTGTGAGAAAGTGATACAGCATGATTGGTTAAACTGAAGTAGATGTATGGAATTCGAACCTGAAACTCAGTGGCTGAAAGTCGAATATCTTAAACACTAAACCACATTTAGGTTTATAATTCCGATGTTCTTGAGAACAATACTCCATCAGTTGAAGCAATAGACCCCCAAATATTGGTTCATAAGTTCAAAGCAGTCGTTAGCACAAACAACATTCAACCATGAGTTTAAACCAGCTGTCTATATTTTACCACGAATAGCTTAATTGAGATACTTTTGATTCTTATACACAGTGACAAACGCTCAATTCTTTGCAGAGATCAGTAGTTAGAGACCTTGGATGATATAGCTCAGAATAGTTCGCAGTGGCACAGACACACTCACTATTCATCTTCTTGATGCTGAATTCCAATTTTCCTTCACGAATACTTTTCCATTCTATCTTCTCTATATTTCTACGGTTTAGAGATTTCTTCCATAATTCCTACACTATTTTGATGTCTTTTGTTACTTTTATGTTGTGGTGCTAATTAAGTATAGGAATCTAGGCCAATGAACATCTGTTTCACGCTCTATATTGATGATTTCTCTGTTTGTTTATCCATTGCAGTGTAATTATTCAATGACAGATTTCGTAAATGTTTTTAAGTCAATATATTCCATCAGTTCATCTACAATAACTCTTTTCTAATTGATCAAGCAAAGAGTACTTGAATTAGAATACATTTATCTCGTTTTTTTTCAGAAGATAGATAAACACGAAAGTATGGCAAAAATAATAGTATTTCTATTTGACATGTCCATTATTTAACTTCAAGATAATTTGTAATTCTTCTTATAGTGGCCCTTGAAAGTATACAATTAGTAATCATAACTATCCAGTTTAAAAAAAAAGTAAAACGAGTGTTTACCCCATCAAAAGATAAAAAACAAATGGTTGGAATGTTGAAGTAAAGCTTCTGTCTTGTAGATGAACTGAATCGCAGAAGATAACAATCCTACCCAGATAAGCAATATACATTCATAAAGAAGAGATTAGAAGTTTCTATAAACTTGTCAATTAATCTCTTGTTCAGTCGGCTACAACGTAGGACTAGGTACAAATATGCATCGGTCTAAGTTGCCATACCCCAGTAGCACAACAAGATCAACACCAAATTCATAGAAGCCATTACTTTAATGGTAGTAAAAACAGATTTCATATAAGATATGATACAAGGAGAAACACTTAGTTCGTAGAGTGAGAGGTATAAAGCAATTTTAATCTCATGGTTTAAGGGAAGACAGGGAGTGTATACACCGACGCCATTGTGATCGATTCTGAGCCATGTCACCCAGAGTCTCCAAGCACTGGTTACGATGGACGCGCGAACCCCAACCAAGTATTCTGCATATACCAACATGGCTCGGACAAGAAGCTAGTGACCTTATGGATTGATGCCACGTTTTAATTGCAAAATAATAATATGGAATACATGAAATTAATTCAATATACAATTACTTTGGTCGATTGCCTGTTTAATAATTCCATAACTTCTTCACGTATTCGTTTACTTTCTTTTTCACGTATCGTTTCAGCACCCAACAGATTTTCTAAATCAAATTCTATTTCATGATTAGTCTCTTTTATAGTAGATTGATGATGATTACATTTATCATTAGGTGGACGTTTATTTCTATCGGATATTGACCCATTATTTTCACATTGTTTTCTGATATTAGAAAAATTGGATTTCCGTTCACAGTCTATTGGGGTTGTTTCTGATGTATGGATTACGTGTTGATGTGATGTTTTCAATTGTTGAATACTGCTATGAAAGAAATTAAGTTTTACAATACAATATGACAATTTTACATGTGATTTAATCGAGAACATAACACAGTGAGGTGTTATATATAGATATATACATGTATGAGCAGTAATTGTTACTATGAGTTTAACTATATAACATAATGGGTATTTATTAATTGTACATGAAAGAGAAAACTGTCGATTTACTTAACTATGATTAAAGTCAGACTGCGAAAGATTTGATTAACTGTGATACAATCACTACAAGACCTAGAGGTTGTAGTTTCGATGACGGAGTCAATGAAGTAAACTCCTATGAGACTTTTGGTATTGCACGACATCGCTAAGCGCCCTAAACAGTTTTTGAAGAGTGAAAACGGTTCTTATCACAGACCTCTAAGCTATAATGAAACAGCTACTCAATGCTACCAGATTTTCAATGGTTCTCCAACTGGCGTCAATTCGTGACCAAAAAATTTGTTTGTTAACAAATAGCATGGAATTAAGAAGGTACACTAGAAGAATATTCCAATGACCAGTTAAATATTTCATAGAAGACAAATGCCAATTAATACAGAGAAATGAATGACTTAAATTATTATATTGTGAAAATCACCCATTTGCAATATATGCAATTTGTCATTAAAATGGGAGAAAAGATGGTTCAGACTTTAAGGTCACACGTGGATAATTCGTATCAGAAAATCACAGTATTCAAGCCAACAAAGAGGTTTTACTTATTCAGTACAGAATAACATGAGTTAATAAATTTTTTCCACAGAACTACAGTGATCATATAACTCACTAATTCATCATAATTCTACATATTATCTTTGTTTATGCTTCAGTGACTAGTAGTGAATTATGTATGGTTAGTAAACGTATGATATAAATCTAATCAGTAGGCATAAACTTGGATTTCCAAATATTCTGCTCTAAAGTTCAATATTTATCGAGTTCAAGTAGACCATGAAACTTCGTGAAACAGACAAATTTATATACTGGTTTATCAGTCTTTTACAGATGTTATTAAAATCCTGTATTTTAGATTTAACGATTGCCCACCAAATGCCCTGGTACGACCGAGGGTGAGGAAAGTCAGCTCTCCCTCTCTAAATGCTCTCATATGGCCACACGTACACAACCACTGTCATGGAAGTCCTACTCACTGCCTTCTCGTGGCACCGGTGTTCTTTACAAGATTAAGTGAACGAAAGGCTAATGTCCAGCACTTTAACCTGGTTGGTGAACACGGAGGGTCCACTTACAGGAGTTGGAAAACCCTGATTCTAAACCAATGGTGCACATCGGTTCCAGTTTCCTGAAAAAAACAAATGGCGTATGAACCAATTTTTGGTCACCGGCTACCATGGGAATACATCTCCTGACGTTGCTCCACTGCCTTTTGCATCAGACCTTTAGGTCGAAGGCTCGGGGTGTGGACCCCTAAGAAAACCACTTGTTTCGGTTTGTGCAACCGGACAATATCATAGCCCACACACAAATCAAGTGACTCGTGTGGCGCCTATGTACCGATATTGGTGTCCAAATAAATAAATAAGATTTATTGATTGAAATTCTTATCTTCACGCAACAAAATTTCATTACAGATCCATTGCCCATACTTCAAGTAATGACTATGACTTCTCTTTTATTATTTACTTTGTCTTTGCCGTTATTTTCTTTCAGATATTACAGAATCAATAAGAAAGTTATGCATACGAATGAGTCCTATTAACTTAACTTTTATAGAAACAGTAAAAGGTCTTTTACGAAAAGTCAATCTTTATTTTATTATAGTAATTGTGGAACAAGTACGATTCAGGATGTTGTTATCGTACATCGCTAGCTCACATTGAGTTTGCGCAATGCATAGAGCTAACATCTTATTTCTACCAAGCATTGTAGGACCGAAAACCCAATGTGGAATCCGATGGCGATGTTCAGCTACCTTAAATAGAATGGGTGATACAAAATTCAAATATACGATACATTAGATCTACTATGGAACAACTATACATTATTTCCACTTTCTGATATTGTCTTTAAATAAAATACGTTTTCGAAGAAAAACTTTGCTAGTTAAATATGGCAGTTGTATTACTTACCTTGACTGTTTAGGGATTGATTTTTCGAAATCAGCTGATCCAAGTAACCGAGTAATTAGTTAAGATCAACATAGAGGGTACAGTTGGTTGAAAAAAAGAGGAAAAATGAGTAAAACTTATCGAAAACGAAGTCTAGATTATTTCATCACAGGATGTTGATAAGATAAAACTTGGTATGAAAAATAGTGGGAATTATGAATCATAAAAACGCATCAGAATCATGTGATCAGTGATACTGTAGTGAACAGAACACGAGTGGGGACAATCGAATGTATTTGACACTAAACTACAGGACTTGTTAATAAAATCTAACAATCATATAGTAAATGCTTAATTTGCAAAATGTGCATCAATTGCCTCAAAATGTCTCAGACTTCATTGTTCTTACATTTCCATACAAATTGCATTTTGTCTTCATTCTTTACTGTTCGATCATCTTGTCTCTCTGCTGCCAGACATTCTGTTCATGACTAACGTCACATACTACTTATGTCGATATAGGTAGCACACACCACAATACCATATGGCCCGATTTTTTTCAGTAAGAACAGTTTAGTAAACACTTAATAAACCTAAATTATTATGGACGAAATAAATGTTCCATATTTAGATTATACTAAGCTAGTTGGTCAGGTTATTCCCTGAAAGTGATATTTCACTAGCCATAGTAAAAACAGTATCGATCGCCTGTTTACACTAGTATTATTTTAGGTATCATTAAGACGGTGTAAAAATTTGGGCATAAAATTCGAATGTTACGAACGATTTGAGGTTTGGAGATAGTGTATACTTCTCAAAGTTAAGAATTGTAAAGCTCGTAGTCATATACAAGTTAATAGCTTAAACTAAGTGGTAGTCACAAATGTCGTGTTTGTCTAGTGATGATAGAATTCTATCGGTCTAGTTGTAATGAGGCCACTAGTCCGAATGACTTGACATCGCATAAACATAAGGGAAGATAAATTGCGAATGCATCCATGACGTTGCAACCGATTATAAGCTATATCACCCAACAACGCTAATCGTCACTCATGATAGTTGGGTGAACTCCAGCCAGGTAGTTTGTAACTACTAATATATAATACCTTTATAAATCCGAGTCACAACTTCACGTGGATGCTCTTAGCTTCCTCCTAACTTGCACTAGTCAACACTGCATTCCATTCATTTTGTATCTCAATTTCTTGTTAAGTAGAACAATTATAAGTTTACATTTGTTACCCTGTAAACATGGTATGAATCTTTCCTTCCAAATAGTTAATAAAGATATTTCAAGTTACAAGCGAATAGACAACATCTATGACACAAATAAACTTATATTTATTCTTTTATGACTAATGTTGTTCTTACTCTACTGAAAGTAACAGAGTTATACATCTTATTTGCAGTAGGAAAACTCATAATAAGTCAACTAAATCACTTACATGATTTATCGAGTAAATTACAACTGTGATCTGATTGTTTCGAATCGATAGTAGATACATTTTGCGATTTGTGACAGGGACATTTTCCAATATTATCACAGCTACTAGATGACGAATTCAATAATCCTGATAAAGAAGTTATATTCGACTGAGAATGAACTGAAAGTGTATCAGACGACACACTCGTTATATTATTATCACCAAGTTTTCGTTTCAATGCATTCTCGATAACAGAAACAGTTGACTGGTTAACATTAAAAGGTTTGTTAATTGAACCGATTCCAGTACTGCTATTATTTGTAAGTAAGGAAGCGGAAGACGAAGTTTTAGTAGAATGGGTAACAGAAGCTAAAAGTTGACGTCTTGCAGCTAAACGTTCACGTAAAGAATTCTGTTTAGCTTTAGCTGCTTCAACAGAATCTAAAGCAGAATTTTCAATTGGAACAGAAGCAGGAGTGGGATTGTGTGACATTTTCGACATCTCTACATGGAGGTTGAGAATAAAATGTTCGAAATGTGTTAGCGAACAAAAACATATATAGGTTGTCTTTCTTAAACTTAACGTTGTTTATCTCATGAATAGGAATAAACTGCATTAAAAACAACTTTCACCACAATAAACTAATGAATTTTCAATCGTATGTGTAGTTACTAACTATTTGATTGTAACAACAAACCAACAATGGCTCCAGGAGATCTTTAATTTCGGTCAGATAGGTTTTATATAACGTTTAAAACAGCTTTGCTCTGGTAATTTACATACATTATTATTGAATATTACATTAGGTGCATTTATAAGACTGAACAACAAAGATTTTTAGGAATATAGAGATGTTAAAATAATCGACATTTCATGCAGATAGACATGATTGTTAAATGAGGATCACGAAATGTGCCGTGAGTTACAAACACCTACCAATGAATTAATTCTACGATTTAGGATGTTAGTGATAAGAGTGACTGTTTAAAAATATAAATCGTTTAGTGGTGATGGGAATTTAGGATCATGATCTATGGAAAAATATTTTGTCACAAGTCACAGAAACGTTTAAACTATTAATACTATCCAGTTACTGCTCTCGTCAATGTAATAAAACAGCTATATCTCACAACATTAAACAAACCTCAGCAATGGAGTATCTATCTGTGCATCATCACAATAAACACTTCCTGCAAGAAGTAGACAGGGCGGCGATATACTGATAAGCACGCTTACTTTCGTAGACCAAACTGTTGCATAGTTTAGATTGACTAGAGGAAATGAAGCTTTCGAACGCATTTATTACTTAATTTATCATTAACCCTTCTGAATTGGTGTCTGAAAAAATCTCAGCACAGATTTGGAAAGGTTGCTTGACTTTCGTAAACTTGTATCTTTTGTATATTGTGACCACCGATTGAACAATGTCAAGGTAGGACGTAGGGAAATAGGAGAAGAGTGCAAATCAACCGGTGAGGTGAATATTCATCGACTGAGGTAGTTCGGATATGTTGAGTATGCTTAGCTAATACCTACCCCTATATGCAATCATGAGGAGCTGTTTGACGGTGAACTAGAGAAAAAAACGAAAAAGTGGAACTATTGGGTTTTGGACACGTTATTGGGGTCCGCAGAATGACCGTTTCCAACCAATGATCGAGGGGAATGCGATAAAATGGTCTAAATTTAGCGGCACGGCTGAGACTGACGACCAGTTACTTTGTATGTTGATAATATTTTCTGGTTATCTATGGTATTCTAAACTCCGCCTGTAGCTCTTCTAGAGTTACTGCTGGTTCCAAGCCCGGGTAAAGGAGGAGGGTTGGGCATGAGGTTAGCGTCTCCATCCCGCAGAAAACCAACTCGCTAAAAAAACGCTTACCAGAAAAAATAATTCAAACCATTTTAACTCTGCCCTGGGAATTAGAAGGTCTTCATTTAGAAGAATTATGACGCTTCATGGTGAAAGCCGAGCTCCTTCGGAAGCCACGAGGCCGACGCCCCTTCTAACAACCAGAGCAAAAGTTTTTATAGGTACATGGAACGTCTGGACAATGTGGGAGACCGGGAAGACCAGTCAAATAGCAACGGAAATGAGGAGATACAACTTGGCAGTACTGGGAATCAGCGAAACCCATGGGACCCAAGCTGGATAGAAAAGGCTAGCTACGGGAGAGATGATGCTATACTCCGGTCACGAAGAGGAAAATGCTCCACACACTCAGGGAGTCGCTCTAATGCTGTCCAAAGTAGCACGAAATGCACTTGTAGGATGGGAATCTCACGGATCCAGAATCATCAAAGCATCATTCAAAACAAAGAAGGAGGGGATCACAATGAATACTATCTAATGATATGCACCCGCTAATGATAGCAACGACGACATTAAAGATCGATTCTATGAGCGGCTGCAATCAATCATAGAGAAGTGCCCAAGAAAGGACCTCAGCGTTCTGATGGGAGATCTAAATGCCAAAGTCGGAATAGAGAACACCGGATATGAAGATATTATGGGACGACATGGGCTGGGACAGAGAAACGAAAATGGAGAAAGATTTGCAAATCTATGTGCATTCAACAAATTGATCATAGGGGGCACAATATTTCCACACAAGCGTATACACAAGGCTACATGGATCTCACCGGACCACTCCACAGAGAACCAGATAGATCATATTTGCATCAACAAAAAATTCCGAACGACAATGGAAGATGTGAGAACCAGGAGAGGTGCTGACATAGCTTCAGATCACCACCTAGTTGTGGCCAATTTAAAACTGAAGCTAAAAAAGAACTGGACACGTGGACAAACAGCAATACAAAGGTTCAATACGGCCTTCCTTCGAGATACTGACAGACTCAATGAATTCAAGATAGCTCTCAACAACAGGTTCCAAGCCTTACAAGATCTACTGAAGGAAGAAGAAACTACTATGGAGGACAACTGGAAAGACATCAAGAAAGCATTAACTTCAAAGTGTCAAGAGGTTCTGGGCCTAAAGAAACACCATCATAAGGAATGGATCTCTATAGAAACACTGGACAAGATCAAAGAAAGGAAGAACAAGAAGGCAGCAATTAATAACACCTGAACACGAGCACAGAAAGTCCAAGCACAAGCTGAATACATAGAAGCAAACGAGCAAGTGAAGAGGAGCATTAGAGCCGACAGGAAGAAATACGTGGAAGAATTAGCAACGAGGGCAGAAAAAACTGCTAGAGAAGGAAATATGAAACAGCTTTACGATATGACGAAACTATCAGGGAAATACAGTAAACCAGAGAGACAGGTCAAAGACAAAGAAGGCAAGCCAATCACTGAAATTCAACAACAGCGTAACAGATGGGAAGAATACTTCGAGGAACTCCTGAATAGGCCGGCTCCAATGAATCCACCGGACATCGAAGCAGCGCACATAGATCTTCCTATAGATGTCAACCCACCAACGAAGGAAGAAATCAGAATGGTCGTCAGACAAATCAAGAACGGGAAAGCAGCAGGACCCGACAACATACCAGCTGAAGCACTGAAGTCAGACATCGAAGTAACCACAAGCATGCTTTACCTTCTATTCAAAAAGATTTAGGAGGAGGAACAAGTGCCGATGGACTGGAAAGAAGGACACCTCATAAAGATTCCAAAGAAAGGAGATCTGAGCCAATGTGAAAACTACAAAGGCATTACACTACTGTCAATACCAGGGAAGGTCTTTAACAGAATGTTGCTGAACCGCATGAAAGGCGCAGCAGACGCTCAACTTCGAGACCAACAAGCTGGATTCCGTAAGGACCGGTTGTGCACAGATCAAATTGCGACACTATGGATCATCGTCGAACAATCAGTTGAGTGGAACTCGTCACTATACATCAACTTCCTTGATTATGAAAAGGCATTTGACAGTGTAGATAGGAGGATGTTATGGAAACTTCTTCGACACTACGGAGTTCCTGAGAACATTGTCAATATTATCCGGAACTCATACGACGGACTACAATGCAAAGTCGTGCATGGAGGACAGCTGACAGGTGCATTCCAAGTAAGGACCGGAGTCAGACAAGGCTGTCTACTCTCTCCCTTCCTCTTTCTTCTGGTGGTCGACTGGATTATGAGGACCTCGACATCTGAAGGAAAACATGGAATACAATGGACAGCTCAGAATCAATTAAACGATTTGGACTTCGCAGATGACCTAGCTCTCCTATCGCATACACACGAACAGATGCAGATAAAGACAGCCAGTATAGCAGCAGTCTCTGCATCGGTAGACCTCAACATACACAAGGGGAAAACCAAGGTCCTCAAATACAACACGGAGAACAGTAATCCAATCACTCTTGATGGTGAAATTTAGGAAGATGTAGAATCCTTCACACACCTGGCAAGCATCATCGATGAACAAGGAGGTTCAGATGCAGACGTAAAGACGAGGATTGGCAAAGCAAGGCCCACATTTCTACAATTGAAGAACATATGGAACTCAAAACAACTGCTAACCAATATCAGTCACAATCTTCAATACGAACGTCAAGGCAGTTCTACTGTACGGAGCTGAAACTTGGAGAACTACAACAACCACCATCAAGAAGGTAAAAGTATTTAAAAATGTTTGTCTACGCAAGATACTCAACATCCATTTGCGGATACCATCAGCAACAGCCATTTTTGGGAGAGAACAAACCAGCTTCCAGCTGAAGAGGAAATTAGGAAAAAACGATGGAAATGGATAGGACATACATTACGCAAATCGTCAAACTGCATCACGAGGCAAGCCCTAACTTGGATCCTGAAGGGAAGCGGAAAAGGGGAAGGCCAAAGAACACATTACGTCGGATAATAGAAGCAGATATGAAAAGGATGAATAACAACTGGAAGGAGCTGGAAAGGATTGTCCAGGACAAGGTTGGATGGAGAATGCTGGTGAGCGGCCTATGCTCCTTCACGAGTAACAGGCGTAAGTAAGTAAGTATGGTGTTCTAGTGGCCTCCTCCAACTATACTACATCATATCTCAGAAACTGCAACACTGATCAGTAGATTGTGGAAAGCACTTTCTACTAAGGAACACTACACTTAATTGTTATTATCCTGCATTCAAACTTTTAGTGCTTTTAAGAGTTTATTAGATAAAGACCAAAATCTAGGGAACGTTCCAAATAGTACTATTTGGCAAAATATATTCTATGATACATATCTAATTAGCTGGAAAGACTAAATCAGTTACCTTACAGCTAAGGAACTATTTATTATAGCGATCACAGTTTTATGGCATCTGAACTTAATTACCGAGTTATTTGGTGATTGAAAAGTTTGGCGAATTCCCTTGAAATTCACTGAAAAGGCCCCAACAGATCTCAGTCGTCCTGTTATTTGTATGCATAACTACATAACATAATTAAAGGTTCATTTGCATTCAGTGAATACAAATTCCAAAAAACCAGGTAGGAATATAGATTAATTGGATGAATGGAGACTAGCCCGGACAATATTATAATATTGTCATTATAATGACACTTGAAAGGAAGTAAGACAAAAATCATGGTCTCAACATAACATATTATTTGTTAACATTAATATGCGCACAGTTATATGAATATATATAATCATATTTTGTTATTTACGGACCAAGTATTACCGGTAATACAGACGAATGCGCGTCCTTGACCAGAAGGGTAACCTTCAGTTTTGCAATGTTGCTTCTCTGAATACTCAATATACAATAACATTCTGAAGAGTCGGTGTGAACTAATTAGTTTCATAGATCCCTCAGGTTGTGGTAGGTGTAGTTTGAGCCGTTTGATGTTATTTATTGTGTGTAGTATAGTCACTTGGCTGAACTAATCCTTGTAAATGTGACAGTCACTTGGAAGTCCACCTGTCTTGAGTTTAAGCAAATGCGTTCCTTATGTGGTCATGGGGATGCCGAGACCGTTAACTATCAAGTTGTACTATCGCCGACGGATTGTTTGTGACACTCAGAATTTTAAATGGAAATATAAATAAGTGTAGGGAGGACAAGGGTTCAAGATCAGTAAGTAAATTAATAAACGACCTGCTTCTACTCCTTCGAACTTCGTCGGACTCGAGGGGCTGAATAAAATATAGGATGACATGTAGCTGATCACTGTTTCACTACGATACGGCAGGGATTGTCACTGACTAAAGAAATAATGGATCCTCGGAACTTAAATTCTTGAAATATCATCCGGGCAGCAAAACGAATAATACTGTTGCTTTCGGTTAGTAGAGGTGAAGAAATCCATAAAAGTGGATAATTTTGTAAGTCTTCGACGTTAAGTCTGACGAATATAGTTTTGTTGAATACGTCTCTAGCTTATAACTCTCACACAAGATTACGTCTGGGTATACCGTTATGCATATTTCTTACGATAACTAGTAGGCTCAGATTACACAGATCTTAACGACCCGACCATTTCTCAAATATACCTGACCATTCTTTTACCTCTAACAATTGACTTGACTGTCTTTGAGACCCCCAAATAAAATGAATATTCGTACAATAACGTTAGCAAGCACTGTAAAATCAAGGAATTTTTAGGTTTTTGAGAGGATGGTTGGATGTTCATCCTATATGCACGGACGAATTAAATATGCGACAAATTGGGTAGTATAAATTTGTGTGGTGTCTGATCTAGTAAAGTCATCAACACAATTCTCTATGATCGAGCGAGGCGCTTGGTTTAGGGTGACCACTACTCCTTGTGATTATCTAATTGTGCATGTCCTCGACCCATAGTTTTTGTTACACGGTAGACATTTTGGACTCGATTCCTTCCTCTCAAGTCCTGTTGTTTGATATCATACTCAAACACTCCTGATCTTTAATAGTGACTCTAGGTCTTTAAATAAGACTTTATTATGAATACTGTGTTCTTATTCATGAGGTACAGGCTGACATTATAACGGGGCAGGATTTTTAAAAATGGAACTTTCGGAACTGTTCTTATTCACTCACACACTTGAGCTCGTCATTCTTCTTAGAAGCATAGGTCACAGACCAGGACTCTCCAACTGATCCTGCCCTGGGCCCTCAGCTCCAGTTGCTTCCAACTACTACTCTTTCTTTCTATGTCTGTCTTCAATTCCCTGCTCAACGTGTTCTTTTCATCGTACATTCAGGCTTCCGAGAAAGGGCCTGCCCCGTGGTGTTGTGTGGTGATTTACATAATGTGTGGGCTGCCCAGCTCAAGCATCACTTCCCAACTTTGTCCTCAGCTGCAATTTGGATAGCTATTGACGCAATAAGTTGTTGCTGATGTTATTCGGTCAACCGATATTGATTACCTTGCGTAGACGATTGCTTACAAATAATCGTACATTTTTTATTATGTATGTAGGAACTTTTCAAAGCTGCTTCCATACATCTTCCTAGATATTTCTGTCAAAAATTGTGAATGGCTTTGGATGAAAATTTTATTCAGTTCAATATGTTTTTAAACTTAAGGGATGCTACCCTTGTTTTGTCAATCAATGCATCCTTGGTATAAGTGAAAATGTACAGACATAAAATGAACATTTACGAGTTCAAATAGTCTAGTTGCGACCAAGCTGTCCATTGTATTCAGTGCTTCCCATCCGACGTCTGCATTATCCAGTCAGCCGCTGGCTGACAGGGAAAGAGAGAAGCTAAGTAGCCTAGTCCAACTATGGTTCACACTTGAAATGCGACCGTGAGCTGTCCTTCATGCACGATTTTTACAGTTCAATCCATCAGAGAAACGCCGTATGTTATCGATCATCTCAGGCATGCACAAGTGTCGTTGTTAATTGCTCACTTATTATTATTATTCCTTTCTTGAACCTTGTGCAGGGTTTTGAGTGTGATTCACTTCTTATGCTGATACTTCTTGTGGTCCGAAACCTTCTGGAATGTCGAAATTAATGCTTCTTTGATCCTCGTCCAGTTGTTTTACATCGTAAACTCCTCTTCGTTGAGTAGATTTTGTGAGGTTTGGAACCTGTTGTTGAGACTTATCTCGAATTGTTTGAGTTTGTCAGTATGTGGAACGAAGGCTGTAATGAACCTTTGTAAAACTGTTGTTCCAGTTCTTCATTGCTCATTTAGCTTCATTTTTATCTTGGCCACCAATAGACTGTAATCTGGAGCAATGTCAGCTCCTCTCCCGTTTCTCACGTCTTCCATTGATATTACGGATTTTCTATTGATGCAAATATGATCGATCTGGTTCTCTGTGGTGTCATCCAATGAGACCCACGTAGCTTTGTATATGCTTTTGTGAGGGAATATTGTGCCACTTTCAACCAGGTTGTTGGATGCACATACATTGACAAATCTCTTGCCATCCTAGGTCCTTTCTTCTAGTCACTGAAGAGCGTATTAGATTCAGAAAATAACATAAGATCACTCAATATAGTGACATGATTGACTTGACGAATGCGACTAAATTGGATGCAATATTTTTAACGAGGGGTCTTAAACAGGCAAAATTTAGCTCACATTTAAGAAATACTGATCCCGAAAATAACCTGATAACACCTAACAACTGCACAGAAGCTTTGAAATCAATCTCCTCATTCGCCTATTTTATCTCTTGTGTGGTGATTATATACTTTGATCACAGATTATAGAGCTTATTAATTCAATCTTACAAGTGAAGCTGAGGATAACCATCCTTTCTCAGTGCTCATTAAAAGCTGTTATGTCTTGTTGTTTGAATGCTACTTGTTATATCTAGTCGAAGCCGATCGTTATGACGGAAACGCTTATCACATATACTCGGAACGACGAACCTCTGTAATTCCCACGACACGAAAGTAGGAACATAAGACTAGTATAAGTGAAAATTTATTGACCCCAAAACACGACGACGATGGTCAAAAACACACTTGTTTATGTATTGGTTGTACACACAATTTGTTTAATAATTAAGATGAAATCACACTTACGAAAAATAGTTAGACTTATAACAAATCATATACTGAGCATAGTTCATGTCAATTAAATACAAGAATATCGTATATTATACACAATAAAATATCATACGAGAAAAGAACACAATTGGTACACTAAATGATCATCACATTGAACCAAAACGGATGTTATGCTGAATAAAACTCATAATTAGTAAATCAATCGAATTTTGACTTCTTTCCATCTAATCGGACATGCGATATTTAGCATTCTTGCTCACTTTACTTTTTTTGGGCCTCATACAAGAGTGCGATTATCACTGGAGTCTTTATTTTAATCCTCTAAAGCTATCTACATACGTCTTCTGGGAATAAGATACTGTAGTGCAGTTCAAATTCTCTTATGAAAAAGCACAAAACATAGGAGAGCGAGCTTGAAATGAAATCCTTAGTGAAAGTTATGTTCTCACATCCAAAATTTACACAGTAAATGAACTGTAAAATGCTATATGTTGCACAGATATTGTACAGTGAAAAACAGATGAGCTACAATTTCACGGAAACACCTAATTCTAAAAGTTATCCTTTATTTTCTTCAATATTCATTGAGATAATGACTTTTTACAATAACTACTTTGTTCGGTTAGACAATTAATTAGCAACTAGAATAATATTAATGCGGCAAAATGAATGTAAGAGAAAATAAATTGTGAAATACTTGTTTTCATTGAGACCATAAATGTGGATGCCCACTGCTGAGGAGTCCCATAACAGGACGAAACGACCGTCTAGTGCTTCCAGGTTTTCGATGGTAGTCAAACATTAATCGATCCATGGTTGCGATTTAAAGTCATTCATTTCTACAGCCCTATGCCGACAATTACTTATTTCCCTGATTGAAATCATGAGTCAATTGAAGCTAGACCACCATGGAAAACCTGGAAGCACTGAACGGCCGTTTCGTCCTAGTATGAGACTCCTCGGCAGTGCGCATTCACGATCTCGCAACCCGCAAGATTCGAACCCAGGACCTATCAGTCTCGCGCCAGGCGCTAAACCAACTAGACCCCTGAGCCGGCATCCAACGGTGTTAATTTCTAACTTCAACTAATCCACGAAGTTGCACCAACGTACACCATCGTCTTCAGTGAGTTGATATCTCACAACAGAACTGGTTGAAATTCACTGGTAACGGCTTCTCACTGCTGAGGAGTCCCATACTAGGACGAGACGGCCGTCCAGTGCTTCCAATTTTTCCATGATGGTCTAGCTTCAATCGGCTCATGATTTCAATCAGTGGAATTTCTAGAAATCTCCACGAAACCCCTTCTGATGATTATTTATTTGTTTATTTTCACTAAGGCTTTCAAGTCAATGTCAATTTAAAATATTACATTATAAATCTAACAATTCATCAGGCGACATAATTTGTTAACCAAGCTTTCAGGCATCACCTAAGTGACCTTGACCTAGCTTGTGTCACCGTCAGTTAATATGGGATTCAACTGTACAGTATGTGAGTAACATGAAAATACTATCAATTTGCATAAGTAAAACGTAAAAAATCTATTAATATTTAGTGGCCCTATATCTGACTAAATGTGGATCGTTTCTGATTGCTATCAAATAATTGCTGTCGAAATATACATCCTGGCTACCCTCGTATATAATTATCGGTTTAATTCACGTTAGTGAATAACGTGAAGGAAGCGTATATCAGAGAGAGGAGAGAAGCGGAATGACGCGCAGTGGAGAACGCATGTGAGCCTATTCTCTTCTCACCTATTCGCTTCCTTCACTCCATCCCTCCAATTGTCTGTGCAGATCAA